TATTTTCATTCTGGAATGTTCGACAGATTTCATATTCGGGTACCCGCCCAACCAACTTGTAGATACTTTTTCTTATTTCTAATTTATACGAAAACTTCAAAATAAATGTTAACTGATGGTAAAGTAAGTGAACAACATTTGTTTCCAAAGGTAACTTGATATTATTTTGTGTTAGTTAAAATTAAAGCAAATGAACTTTGTTCCAAAACCTTTAGGACACACATATCACACTGCCACCTCCGTCGCAGAATGTACTACCTCAAAAGGCATTTCTGTGGCACTCCAGCCCCCTCGTTCTCCTGATCTCAGTCCCTCCAACTTTTTTCTGTAACAGAAACTGAAAAATGCCCTGAAGGACGTTATTTGGGAGCTTTAAAAAACATCTCAAAGAGTGTGATAGACTTGTTGAAGATCGTACCGGTTGAAGATTTCTGGCGGTGCTACCAACACTGAAAGCAACGTCTCATCGGTGTATATATGTAGATGTCCAAAAAAAATATATATAAAAGTCAGTCTCATTATTTTTCTGCCTACATCTCGTAACCTAAATTCGTTCGATGAAAGCACCCAAACAATCATCAACTAACAGTCCCAGTTTTCACATCGAGTAGTATATAAAGTGTCGCTTGGGTTTACCGCCGCTGGATAATGTCGGTGGCCCACTCGTACATTTTCCAAGAGAATTACATGGCTGCCAGCGGTCGGTCTACACGTGGCTGCCGGCGCTCCCGCAGTCACAAACAAGACAAGGTAACGTTAAACAATAATCAATCTGTTTCCACACCAAGTAGTGCATAAATAGTTTCCTACCGCCACAAACACGCACTCGTGGCTTTTTCATTACAGAGAATTACACGGTAGACGGCGGTCGGTCTCAACCGAACTAGCAAGTGGTGATGTAAGTTTTTGGTAAAGGAACTGTAGAGCCCTAAAAGTTCTCCTTTTTTGTTGCCTGAACACCAAAATGCTGGCTGAATGTTGTGTGAAATGCAAATTTGCTTTCTGCAGAATATTTGATCTAAAATGAAGTATGTATCAAAACATTCTTGTAGCATAGTTATACAACACTTTGTTCTAAAGCGATTACTCATATAATTAACTATTCGCTTGAAAAAGGGTTAGTTCCTAAAATTTGGAAAGCCGCATGCGTTAGGCCTCTTGCTAAAATTGATGCTACAGAAGGACCTGATGATTATAGACCAATTAGTATCCTTCCAGTGTTATCAAAACTATTAGAAAAAATTGTATATGAGCAATTGATGCAGCACGTCACTACCTTTAAGATAATTCCATCTACGCAGTCGGGGTTTCGAAAAAACCACAGCACCGTAACAACTCTGCTCGATGTCTGTAACGACTTCATAGTGGCAATAGATAATTCTAAAGTTACTACTGCTGTCATGATAGATCTAAGTAAGGCCTTTGATTGCCTCAACCATGAACTACTTTTTGCAAAATTTCATTGTCTTGGCTTCTCCGATAGTTCGATTAATTGATTTCGCAGTTATTTTCATGAACGCATTCAGCAGGCAAAAATCGGTGACATCTTATCACAGGAGGGTACTATCTCCAAAGGTATACCACAGGGGTCTATTCTTGGACCCATTCTGTTTTCTCTTTATGTAGCGGACTTAGATCAAGTCACTAAATACTGCAAATTACATATGTACCTACGCCGATGATACACAGATTTATCTATCTTACAACCCTGCTATGTACACTGAAGCGAATGAGATGCTGCCTGAGGATTTAAATAGTATATGTGTGTGGTATAATAAACATGGCTTATGTATTAACCCTAGAAAGTCGGCTATCATAACTATTAAATCTAAATTCAGCAAATTCAATCGTGAATTAATAAAGCTGTGTATTGGAGGTGATCAACTTTGCTACAAGACATCGGTTCGCAACTTGGGCATCACGTTTGATGGGAACGTGTGCTTCCATGATCATGTCACCAAAGCTGTTCAGGGTTCCTATGCTAAGTTGAAGTGAATTTATAGCTATAAAAATGTATTGTCCAAGCAGACCAAGGTTAAGCTGTGTGACTCCCTTATCCTAAGTAAACTTGAATACGGGGACCTTGTCTATGGTCCATGTCTGATACAAAGCGAGGCATACAGACTTCAAAAAGTACAAAACAGCAGCATAAGATTCAGTTTAGGTATTCAAAGGCGGGAGAGGGTATCTGATCATATTAAAAATATTCAATGGCTTACTATGCGACAAAGGTGGATACTGCATCTATTATCATTGGTCCACAGTATTCTGATAAATAAAATGCCTCTTTATTTGAAGAACAAGCTTACCATGAGATGTGACCATCACTCAGCGAACCTGCGTTTTGTAGGATATACTCTTGACTTGCCTCGGCACCGAGCAACCCAATTCAGAAAGAGCTTTTCATATGTGGCGCCCGATTTCTACAATAAAGTACCTCAAGATTTGAAAACTCTATCTGTGTCCAGATTTAAAAGAAAAGATAGGCTCTTTGTCTTTGATGACATGTAGCATGTATTTTTATGTAATTTTAGTTTTATATTTGTTTATTTGTGCATGTTTTCTCACGTGTCACTTTTCATTTGTTTGTGTTTTGTTTAGGAATTTGTTACTGTTTACTTTTATTTTTATATCTTCCGCCATATACCTAATATTTTCTTTTTTTAAAGTTACTTCTAAGCATGGTTTTTGATTCTGCTACGTACTCTGTTGATGCACGTTTCTCTTTTGGTCTTTTGGTCATTATACCATGCATATTCTACGATTCTGTAAAAAAAAAATGTTTCTGCTTTAAATTTTCTTATTATCTTCAGTGTATTTCTATTGTATTTGCATGTACTTGGATTTTTTTTAGCCCTGGTTGGTTCTGAAAAACAGCTTGTACTGATGTAACCCGCCAGGTAAAATAAAGGCCATTTATTATTATTATTATTATTATTATTTATAGGACACATTTTAAACGTTTATAGAAATATTTTATACGGCATAGTCAAAATATTTGTGTTGTGGCATCCATGGTAACATTTATACAACAAACCCGAGCCTTGTGGTTTTGGTTTGCTCTACTACTCTAGGCAACAAATTGTTCGCAGTGGAAGCACTTATATAGCTATCGTTTAGTACCTCTTAAAGGCTGTACGTCTGCAACAATATCACAACCTTTATAGTACAAAATTGCTATGCATACATTTGTTGGTAAATATATGGGTATACTCGTACTTCACCAGTACATAACTTCCTGCTGTCTTGTTTTTAGGTTATATGCCATAACCAATATCTGAAGACAAGCAACACATGAATAGTCGTTTTAAAGGTTTCGACTCTGTCCGTATTTCATTTCGGAGATTTGTCAAATTGCTATATAACGCCTGCAGATAACACCAATAATAAAGCAGACCTTACGGAAGAGGCTATGATTGTACATAACCACCCGCCATATTGGATAAAAAATATATTCCTCTATTGAAAATCAAATAATTCTGTTTCAGTCCGACATACAGATATGAAATGATAAACAAGAGTGTAATTTTGTCTAAATAAAGGATTTGTGGAAAATTTAACGACATATTTTTGATCATGATTAAAATATGAATCAAATTTGAAGCCCTCAGAAATTGCGCCACTACTTTGTTGGATAATCACAATAAAATTTGCTGCGCAAGTCATCTAATAGCCCTATATCACAGTGAAGAAGCTTACCATACCTATACCCGTGTATCAAATTTACAATGGCCGATATGTAAGTAAACAAGGTGACTGTAATGTGTTAGTTATAGTATAGTTAGAGATTCAGAAAAAAAAAGTTGGATACAAAAGTTGTAGGTGGAGCTAAGAGCTACAACCTAAAATTATTACCATGTATTCCTGTGGATTTTTAACAGGAGGAGAAATAAAAGGATTGGTAGCCCTTCTATTTCTGCCCCGGTTCCTTTATTGCGGACATACCATGGCAATATCTGGCCTCCATCGCGACGTCAGTTGGCTTGTGAAAAGAGATCATATACGTGTATGTGCCTATTGGCTCTTGTTTGTGGCTTCTAGCTGCATTACCCTTTCCATCCTTGTTTTTCTTCAGGTTATACGCGTATCCAGATGTGATGGGCATACGTTTCCACTTTGGTGTTTTGATGCACATGTATTTGGGCCTGATGAAGCCAATTATCAGAAGCGTATGTCGCTCGGGCTACCAATCCGACTATTTCTGCTCCTTTTCTTTTATTGCGGACGTGTCCACGATTGTCCTTTGTTTTTCTTCTAAGTTTCCGCAAAACTACTTCTGTGCCTTAGAGGTAAACGATCGTAACTACATTTTTGCAGTATAATTAGTATGGTTAATCTTTACGTGGAGTAAATGATCGTAGCGCCTAACCACGATAATCATGAAATATATGAAATAGATCAAGCAGCTAGTGATTTTTTGTTAGAGATAAACAGTCGCTTCTCCATACATATGCACAATACTATCATATGAATCATAGCTACGCAGCGGTAAACAGTCGTGTCACCGTCGCGCACCGCTTACTTTACAAACTGTGTTGTTCAATCATTCTTCAAAGTTGATCAAGGTGCCTAAGTAACCAGAAAACGGTAATAATGTGCTCAAGGGCTCAAAAATTAGTGCAGCTGGCACTGAAGGAGGAAATCGATTCTCGAGAATCTAGTAAGTACAACATAATTGATATTATAGGTGTCTGAACCAAAACAGGAACATCAAGATGATCGTAAACTACTTTTACATATTACAAATAATAAGTCCTTCATTAAAGTGTATCATTCACAAGTTTCTTCCACGTGGACACACACACATGGAAGCTGATCATATCCATGCACTTATCGAACGAGTTATAAAAAAACAACCAACCATGAAAATATGCACGCCATGGGATTGGCAGCAACTTATAAGATCAACCGGAGCCACAGTTTTCGAGATGCAAACTTCAAGAACTTCGAGGCCTTATATTCCGGCACAGGATCACCTCTCATTCAAAAGAAACAGACAATAGACAAAGAAAGCTTTTTAGTGTCATCAGCGGTGTGGGTTGGGGTTCGAAAACAGGATCCAGGGATACTCTACTATAAAACAGACATACTCCAAGAGGACTACAAAATGGTAAACATGAATAGATCCTCTAGAAAACCAATAGGGTTACCACTAGAACTATGTTCGTCGCGTCAAACCAGAAATGGACTTAGCAAGAAAAAGCACGATAATCTTCGCATGCTTCTGCAATGGATACCAGCAGCATTTCATGATTTTTATAAAAATATTCCTGTGCTGGGTCAACAATGAGATCATGACGACGACGACGATTGAATATACTCGTATATTCTCCAGATGTCATTTTTTGTAATAATAAAACGTAGCCTACTTCCACCAATTTTACTTACTGTGTTTCATCCTGTGCTGCACCTGGATAATCTGAATATCAAATTCTAAGATCTAACATGAAGCATTACTGTTCTGTGTACCATATAATATGTTTTCCAAAAAATTATATTCGCATATTAACAGTAACAAGAACAAAAAACCATTCTCCTACTAACTCAATCTTCAATTTGCTTGTTCTTTGAATTGCATTATATGGAGTTACACCTATATACGGGTGTTTCTCTGTAAAGTGGTCAACTCCTTGTCTCCTACCATAATAATATACTAAGTGATATATAAATCCGAACACCCAGTTTAAATGGTTTTATTTTAATAAAAGTTGGCGAATGTATTTATCTGACTGTAAATAACAAGTGAAAAAATTTTAAGCCTTATCAGTAGGACATTCCGGTTTTTATACTGCTTTTTTTTTAATTCACTAACGCTCTAAAAATGAATATTTCAGCCGCAGTAAAGAATCAACGTTGGCGGATTTTGATTCTTGACATCCTTTACGATCGGTTACGATGCCTAGAGTACTGAGACCTGTACGATTTCGTCAACTTAGTGAGTTTGATAGGGGCCGTAAGTCTGACTTCGGGAAGCTGGACTTTCTTTTCTGGCAACTGCAGTTAGAGTGCAAAGAAGTGTAGACACTGTGGTTAGGTGTTGTCAGGCATGGCTTCGAGAAGGCCGTATGCAAAGAGCAAGGGGCACTGGACGCCGCCGTAGAACAACAGACCGTGAAGATCGCCGCCTAAGATTATAGGCCTTAAGGGACCGTTTCTCCACTACCAGGTCCATTGCAAATGAATGGTTTGCAGAACACGGAAGACCTATTGGCATGCGAAGTGTTTACCGACGAATGAGAAGTTTTGGCTTGTTTTCATACCGGCCACACTGGGTCCCCCCTTTAACTCGAGAACACCGACGTAATCGCCTTCAGTGGTGCAGACAACGGTCACTCTGGGATCAGGAATGGAACAGTATTGTCTTTAGTGACGAGTCTCGATTTTGTTTAGGCCTGCACGATGGTCTAGAAGTTCTAGAACCCCATCTTTTACCCTATCTTGACACCCTGCCAGATTCAACTTTCCAACAAGATAATGCCCGACCACATGTTGCAAGAGTCACAATAGACTTCTTTCAACATAATGATGTCACATTGTTACTATGGCCACCAAGATCTCCCTCTTATCCCCAATTGAGCACGTGTGGGATATGATGGGTAGGAGATTGCTCAATTTGCAACGTCCTCCTCAGACTCTAGAAGCACTTCGAGAGGAGTTGGTGGTTGCCTGGAATGAGATACCACAGGAGGACATTGACCACCTGATCAGAAGCATGCCTAGGCGCGTTGGAGAATGCGTAGCACATCAGGGTGCATCCACACATTATTAAAGGTCAAAGGGCTTTAAAGCAGTGCAATCATTTTGAAATTTTTATCATTTACTTATTATGCTTCATTAAGTACTTATACAAAATTTTATTAAAATAAAACCATTTAAACTGGGTGTTCGAATTTATATGTCACTTAGTATATAAAATAGAAGAGATTATTATTTATTTCATTACTATTTTAGAAACATAATGATCTAGTCCACCTGTCCTTAGTATGAATTATCTATATAAACTACTATTAATATTCTAAAATCATTGTTGTAATGCTCAAAAAACAGTCCTCTGGTATGTCACCAAAGCGTTGCAATGGCTTCTGATTCAGGTATTGAAACAAATAAGTTTAGAAATCGACTAATTCAAGTATTAATTTAAACATAATACAGTCGAGTCGGCATTATTAACAGTGTTTATTTTTTCATTTATCTATTAAACAAAGAAAAAACAGATTAGTTTGAGTTGGTCACACCATATAGCGATCAGTCCCCTGTGTATATTTCAAATGACGTGGCATAAAGCCTAGAACGCAAAAATATCGTTTTATTGCGTTCAACGAAACGCGAACAGAGTGAAGTTGACGCGGTTGCTACCAAAGCGGCCCTGAGGCCATCTTCTTCAGTGCTGCACACGTGTTGCTCCGAGTTACCCGCGTCAGAACCTAAAAGCCTACAGTCCTCTGGTAAGAAATATTTAAATTCCTTTCTGTGTTTTTAAGTCATATTTCACATAATGTACTTTATTCAAATAGATAATTTTCAATTGTATGCATCAACATAAAACAAATGGATACTGTATTGTGCTACTTATCAATCTAATCTAACTGAACAGTCCCGTGGCAACAGTCCCCTGCATTTAAACAGGACAGGGGATTGTTCTTACTTCCAGAGGACTGTCCTAATGTGTATGCAGCATTGTTATAGGCACAAGATATTATTACAACATGGCACCAAGGAAGAAAACACAGACGAAGGAGGAAATTTTACAAAAGAAAAGGGATGCTGAATGGAAAAAGTACGAGCGCCTCAAGAACGACCCGCAGAGAAGGGGAGAGCTAAGAGGAAAGGGACACCTGAAATACCTTAAAAAGAAAAGAAAAAGAAAACGGGACTAGGAAGCTTGTTAAAGATATGACGCCACCGGATCACTGGGAGGCTAAAAAGAAATGGAGAGAGCATTGTTCTGCTTATCGGAATAAGAAGAAAGGGTTGATGTTCAAAAAACGAATTAATAGGGAGAAGAAACTTAGATATCAAATAAAAAAGAAAAAATATGATGAGATTAAATTACTAAAAAGAAAATTATTGGAATATAGAAAATGTGTTTCGAGACTGATGAAAAAGGAAAGAAAAATGTGTAAAGATACTAACTAGCAGATAGTCCAGAAACTAAGAAAGATCTAGTCAAGAAGGCATTGTTTGGTTAGGTGTTAAAAGAACAATTACAAGAAAACTTCTCAAACATAGAAAAATTGAGAGAAAAAACGATTTTGACCAAAGTAGTATTCAGAAAACTAATGGAAAAAATACAAATTATGGCGTATTAAAAATACAAAATGATTAATTACAGAAGAATAAAAAAAGCAACTACTCGGAGGACGCGTCGTCGGAAAATTCTATAACTCCTTGGACTTAAAATCCGAGTCAGTTGGGATAGTGATGAAACATCTAAGCTGCTTTTGTAACAAAGAGCCTTCACTTTAACATCGGAAAATTAAACTATGAAAATAAAGTTAAACTAACAGTTGCTGAAGAATTCACTGACTCAGAACCTGATGAAGCCGGACCCAGCTCTTCCGCAGCTAAAGCACTCATCAATGGAGATTACATCCTAGTCGAATTAGTCTAAAAAAATATGCAATATAGATATGTAAGCGTAATAAACAAAATGGATGAAGATGGGGAAATTGGAAGTACATTTTTAAAGCCTTACGATAATAAATGTCAAACATTTAGAATGGATCCGGACAATGTAGCAGATATTACAATGGATCAAGTGATAGAAAAATTACCTAATCCAAACATACTTTCAAAGGGAAAAATAGACTATTTTATACATTTGATTCACCTATTAATGTTTTGGAAAAACGTTAAGCTTCGTAAAACTAATGGTTGTGTGTAAAAGACTGATTATGTTACCTTAAGCTTACAAAGTTTTGTACCTGTAACAAGAGTATAATAAAAGTATTGATTTTTTTCGTAGTTTACCGAAGAATTACTATAATTGTTAATTTCCAAGTTTAGAGAAAGTAAAATATTTAATTTTGCTAATATATTGGTATTTTTAATTTGAGTACACCGTCCCCTGCCATACCTGACAGTCCCCTGTGTCAATAATTTAGAAAATGCTTAATATTTCCTAAATTATGACCTATATTTTTGGGTTCCCCGTGGTTTGTCATTAAGCTTGAAAGTATACATCTCCTAAGTAAGATGTTTCAAACATTTAAGCAAAAAAGTGGGCAAGACAGTTTTTCCAAATAAGTTGACCAGTTTACAGAGAAACGCCCATACACAAACTTGTATAACTACAAAATATCATTTTGTAGAGCGTACGTTTTAGTCAAAGGTTCAGACACTCGTCAGCCACACAAAAAACATTTATGAAGTCTCCTACGTATTTCTTTAGCTATGAACACGTAGAATAAAGTGGCGTTTCTCCAAATTCTACAGTGCGTTAAATTCTGTGCCTCGCGAAAATGGCATGCGAAGCCGTAATTTTTGAATGATAATTTCTTTTTGGTACTCAACTATACGCTCAACAACTCCCTCCAATATTATTTTATTACCATTTCTTTCACAGAAAAGCACGACAATTAAGAATCACTTATTTTAAGCCATTAACGTAACTGCAAGCGTTCCCGCACCCGCAGCCACAACTGGGATAGGGAAACGTTAACCAACGCTTTGCATTTGTCTCTCCCGCCCCTCGCCCCTGTGGCTCCTTGAATAAATTTTCGCAGAGTCGGCGAAATTACAAACAGAAACGGCATTCAAAGCATCAGGCACACAATTCTTATGGAAAATGACCTCCGATTAAATGTATTTCAAGATGTCGCTATCAGATCGGCTTTCGATGTTTTATTTGCAGTTTAACGTCAGCATTCACCATTTGCTCATCTGCCGAGCTTATGACAGGTTAAAGAAAAGTAAGTTTGCGATAACCAAAATTTCGCCATTTTTGGCCTAACAGTTAAGGTTACATCGCTTTAACACGAAGTAATCTCATAATACTATTCGGGGTCTCGTAAAGCAAGGCTTGAATTTTCATTTAGATACTTAGCGACCTCAAGAAGCATAATCTTTTAAGCATCGAATATACTCAGTTTCAGGGCTTTTCAGACATTAAGACCCAATTTCACCAACAACAGTCCGTTATTCTCCACCTAGGGTAACAGACGGTCAGATACAGCGAATGAGCTTCAAGTTCCAATCAATCAATTTTAGCAACCAATAGCTATGAAATGTTGAAAACAAAATACTGTCAAAGTATGAGATGACAACTTGTCATTGAAACATTACCAGCTTATTGAATATTAAGAAATTACTTGACTTTTTATTCATGTTTATATTATTTTCTTCAATTGATATGTGATACTGGGTGTTTTTTCCTATAAACCTCTTGCAGATAGCCCCATTAAGCACCTACTTGATGACATGCTCTACCAAAAGATATTGCTCGTTTCCAAACATTCATCATTTACTTGCCGTTCATCAGAACCATTATGGCACCTTAGATTGATATTCCCATAAAACCATTCAGGTTTTTTGATATCCATACATCCACAAAGTTGAATATTTTTCGTTGTTCAGGAACTGAACAAACATCCACACTATATTCACAGCGATTAAGAAATTCCCAAATATATGGCTTAAAGCTACCAGCAAACCTATAAAACCTGCAAAAAAAACTACAAATTTGCCATATTTTTCTTTTTTCACGAGTACACATTCTAGGTTATATTTATATTAGACATTATTTGAATACAGCTGATTATTGCATTTTAAGGAATGACACATGTGTGGGATCTATCAACTCTTGGTACCAGTCACAAAACATACTCTGAAGGTTTAATTCCATGCTATTCAATCACAACACGGTGACTTGTGTGGTCGTCAGCGGCCATTTTGTGAGGGTGCGACAGGGTTGCCCCCCTGGTCCCAGTGGAGTAATTTCCGCCAACTGTTGAAATATACTCTACTATGCTTTATAAGTAACATTTCGTAACATTTTTCCCAAAATCATTGCACAACACTTGTCCTGTTTTCGCTGTACAAAAGCATCATGTTGGAATCAAAAAGTGGTCTTGTTTATAATACAGTCGAATTTTCACGATTTTATTCAACATTTTAATAGAAATCACTGGTATTCTGAGACCTTTGACAGCTTCCGACAAATTGCATTTCGATAAGGTATTTTCCTATTGGTCCATAATATTAATCTTGGTGAAATCGGCCCTAAGACTACGAACTGCTGCCACATCCACCGTATTATCCAGATTTGGAGAAAAGGCCACTCGCGGGGCGAAATTTGAGTCGAATAAGGAGACTAACGAGCCACGGAGGTCTACCAGAAATCGTAATTTTCAGTCGGGTTATACGTTACAAGTTCAGTCTCCCACATTCATGTTTGTCGCTATCAGTATGCCAACATGCTTGTTTGGGCGTGTGATTTGGGTTTACCCATTTTGGTCTAAAACGTAGTAGTGCCTGAAGTTTCAACTACAATGTCGACAGTCTGTATTGAGAAGCATTTTCAGAAAATAGGTTGAAACAACGGTCCTCTATCACCCATTTTAAGTGATGTGCAAGAGCGAGTTGCAGCTGCATTACCGATCGGCTTGCGCAGTGTGAAATATCGCTCTGGGAAGTTAAACTACACACAAACATGGTTCCATTGATCAATCTGTTTACTCATTTCGTACGGCATTGTGACGTAACCGCCAAAAACCATTATGTGATATAACAAGTGTTGGTATGTATAGTGTTAATATTGCAGCTCCCACACGAACTTCAGAACCATCTGAATTATACAGGGTGTTTCAGTTTATTGTTGCATAACTTTAAGATTCGATAGAACTTTTAAAATTAATGCATAAAGAATATATAAACATGGGTTGCAAAATGCGTGGCTTCCGAAATACTTTCTAAAATAGTTTTTCTTAAATATTTCGGACAATATTTGATGTATAACAGTGAAAATAGGTATACTAGGGTTTTTTGGTACGACAAAACGAACCATGGGCATAGTTTTACTGTAGCCGCTAGAGGGCGCTCTCTACTGTACCTGTAGTGTATTAAAATGACCGAAAAATTTTTCTTAGTGCAATTTTTTGCTTTTCGAATAAACATACTGATTCTTCGCACTTTTCAACATACAAAAGCTCTCCTGTGAGTTTTCGTTATAGTTAGCCGTTTTTGAGATATTTCGATTTTTAAGGTTCGATGCATTTTTAATTATTTATGTGAAAATAATATTTTTTTTACATTTTCGATTTAGGCATTACAAGTAATTAAGATGATCGTTTAGATTGTGTTTTTAAACACAGCAATAATTCCTAACTCCAAATAAACACAAAAAAAACCAGAATATTAATTTGTTTAGTTTTCCAATATTATTTTTAACAACTTAAATTAATTATTTACAACTAAAATGGTATTGTATAGTTAGGACAAACATACAAAATCTAAAGTAGTTGCTCGAAATGTAAACCCAATTGTTCAATACACAATTCACATCTACGAATGATCGAACGTGGTATAGCATTATTCAAATAAGGCCTTATTTCATCACATGCATTCCTGATTCTGTCTATTAGCATATCTCTTGTGGTTACGGCAGTCTGGTACACTTTTTCTTTTAGAAATCCCCACGCAAAGAAATCTAATGGATTTAGGTCAGGGGATCGTGGAGGCCAGGCCACTGGTCCTCCACGGCCGATCCATCTTTCTGGATAATTTTCGTCCAGCCAGTTTCTAACTATTCTCGAATAATGAGCTGGACAACCATCAAGCAGGAACCAGGCCAATCTTCTTAAATCTAACATAACGTCATCCCACATATAGGCATGTTCAGCCTTTAAAAATTCCAAGAAGGTCGCAGCATTTAACCTTG